GGCGGGAACTGGGAGGAGGGGAGTTATGGGGGGAAAAAAAAGAGGAACAAATGTAATCTGAACAATAAAGATTTAATTTAAATAAATAAATAAATAAATAAATAAATAACTTTTTACCTTAAAAACATTTCAATTATTACTGGGTGCCCTGTTTATAAGATAAAATAAAAACTTATTTTCACTGAACATTGACATATAAAGTTATTAATACTTTTATATATAGAAATTATTATACCTTTATGTACAAAACATAGATACTTAATCTTTGCTGTATTATTTTACTTAAAGATTTGTTCCAAGAACAATTTAAGATAGAGTACAACAACCTATAAAATATGGAAAAATAATATATATTATAAATAAATTAAAATTCAAAGACAAAATATACTAGGAACAGAAAATAAATTCAGAAACTAGGTCAATTAAAAATGCCTTTTGTAAGAAGTAACACTGCTAGGCTGGGGTCTACACGACCATCACCCTGCCCTTCCTTCTACAGGAACCAAGGGTCCTGTGCTCAGTCCTAGAGGGTGAGCTGTGACTGGTGTAAGTGTCATGGACCCCTTGCTGGACCATTCTTGCTAGAAAGGAATGTCCTGGCTGTGTGAGACGCTTGTAGTGAGATCTCTTATCAGTGGCTGGGCACTTGCTAGGGTTCTCATTTGGCAATAGCTTTCCAGCAGTCCACTCCAAAAGGGACATTTTGTTAGAGATAACTCCATGTTCCTAAAACAAAAACAGGCTGCACAGGGAAAACACAATATTGCTAAATTAAGACCAAATGAGACAGGGGTCTGTAGGGACTCATTCATTTGCCCGATGTATTTAAAATCCTGAATGAAAATACCCATGATACAGATGTAATCAGCAATCCACGCCAAATTGGCTTTCTCTTTTGACATAATTTATTACTCGCCTTGAAGTTTCATTTTCCGCATGCTCCCTACGTTAAAACATTTTTCTTTTAACCAAATGAAATTGCATTAACAAATTAACTTGGAAAATATGTGCAGAAAAGTTGTTCTTTACAAACTAACCTTTGGCTTGTGTGTGAGTTGGCAGACCAGTGGGGGGGGGGGGGGGGTAGGAAAAGGTGTAGGCGGTTTCTATGTGCTCCTTTAGAAAGAGTATGTCTTACTCTGTGTATTTCTTCAGGAAAAATGTAGGCATTCAACAGGACAGGGAAAGATCAGATTCTCAAAAGAGTTGTTTTCTCTAAGCACTGAAAGCAGCTGCAGAGGGCTTAACAGAGACAAAAAATGACATAAGGAGAGATTTTATTTTTATATATAATTTAATTTTATCTAGGAACCAGATTTCTTTCTGTTTGTCTGTCTACGTATCTATACCCAGCTTATAAAGAAAAGAAACAAACAGCACTGAAAGGTTGTCTCCTTCTGTGTGCTTGCCATGACTATTTGCACCCACAAGTTCACTGCTATGCACGCCAGCCCACCAGGAATAGCACCCACATCAAGCCTGAAGAAGCCCATTTATTATTTTGATGACAAGAACTTGCTAAAGTGGGCACATGGAATGTAACCTTGGAAAGGCATGCTCTCCACACCGGGAGGTCTTTGAGAAGCTTGAGTTCTTGCCAGGACTAAAAGTTTGATGCATTCCCAATGACTTCATCCCGAGTGAAAGCTAGCCTCCCGCCCTGTCATCCTCGGGCAGAATCACACCAAGAAAGGACAATTTGGAAATAGCATGCAGGAAATAGACTTCATTTTTCTTTTGAATAAAATAAAAGAAGTAGTCTACATGTGCATAGAGGATACAGCTCCCAGACCCTGCAGTAAGGGCCCATGTTTCTCCTACAACTGCAGAGGGCTTAGCACAGAGTGTCCCAAAATATAATGGGGTTTTTCTGTGGGCAATGTAGATGTGAAATGATCTCCCCCCAAATTGATCTTTGTATCCCATCATTCTGACACTTCATTGCACATCCTGGCTTTCTCTTTAGAAAAAGGGAACAGTTCCATTCCAGTTAATGGTGGCTTCTCTCCACTTGGTTCTGATTGCCATCTCCACTGGAGAAAACCGTCTTCCTGATCCATGTTCCTCCTCACGTTGGTCACTTTCCCAGTGATGAGAGTGAGTATCTGAGGGAGGAACAGCCAGCACTTAGACCCCAGCCTATGCACACCATTCCAGAGGAAGCCAGGAAGGAAGGCAAACAGGATGGGTGAGCAGGAGTCAGGCTCAGCGTGTGTGTTCCTAGAACCAGTAAGCAGAGGGGGATGGTACGTAGAAAAACTGGGTTGTTTTGTATTTTGGAACATGAATATTGACAAGTCATGTAATGAACGTGGCAATACCATGATCTCACCTAGAGCAAGGTGTAGGTCACCGGATGTTGTCAGGAAAAGTGGAGTGCTATCACCTCTTCAATGCTTCTGTGAAATTTTGGGTGAAGAGCAAAATGATTCTTGATTCTGGTAAGGTAATCAAGAACTGGGTTCAAGGGCCAGATTTGTTTCATGCAACATTTGAGAAGGCACTGAACATCTCTCAACTTCCTTTAGTCAATTAGTAACTATTGGCCACCTCTGTTTCCTCCATGTAAAAATAGATATCATGGTATCTACCTCATGTGACTGTTGGGAGAATTTAATGGGATAATGTATGCAAAGCTTTCAACACAGTGCCCAGAACAGAACGCTTGCCATGCATGTGAGCTAATAAAAAAATGATGCTTTCCTCAAAGAAGACAGTAAAGTAGAAATGATAATATATTTTAAGGAACATATTGCCCATACCCCACTAAATTAAATTGGTTAATATATATTTCTCAGATTTAAATAAAAAGAATCAGTAGCTGCACAGATAAGCCAGTCACTAAGATACTTCTCCAGATTTAGTCTTAATAACAGGCCTGTGATGCCCAAAGAGTCAGAGATGAAATCGACAGGCGCCATTCTCATCACTTTTATTCCCTTGTCCAAAGGGTCAGTGTTTAAAGCCATCTTAAGGTTAGTCTTTTTCCTCATGAGTTAAAAAAAAGATGGTTGAAATTGCAGTGAGGTGACCCATGTGGTTGTCTGCTTGTTCCATTGGACTAGAACCTCCTGATGTTTGCAGGACTGTACCTTAGTCTTCTTGCTTTCCTGGTGTTTAGCACAGTGCCTGGCACTTAGTAGGCTCTCATAAAGGCTTTGTGAACTAATCTGAACAGAAATGCACCATCAGATTGGTTATTTATGTCACTGGATGCGCATCTGATGTTGGGTCATGGGATAGCATTGGCCAGTGGGAACCCTCTCCTCCCAATTGTTTTAGCGGTTCTTTCCTCAGGCATGAAATGCCACAGGCTCAAAGACAAACGACCTTGGAGAAGGCTTTTTGGAAATTTGACTCCACCTTTTGTTTTTCTCTAACCTATAAGTTATTTGTGCCTCTGTGCTTCTTCTAAGCCCCTGCTCTACTTACAGCTGGCTTAGAATTCCCAGGTTACAGTGCGAGGTTTAGGCCCATGGGGCTCACGCAGGGTTTCCTTTCAGATATCAAGCCTAAGCATTCGCTTGCAGACTTAGCATGAATATCCACACCTGTTAAATGTCTCTTTGAGCCCATTAAAGCACACAGCCCACGGAGTCGGAAATGCTCACCAACTGTAAGACGGGCAGGCTTTTTCTGGAAAGGCTGCCCACCATACAAGTGCAGATCAAACCGCTGCTCCGCTTTCCAGTCTGCTAGGAGCTGCCTGTTTGTGCTAAAAAGGACACTGTAGCTTCCATTGATGTTGCACAGCCAAATGGGCAATTTGGGAGTCTTCAGCATGCTGCCCACCTGGGAGGAGGAAGCACATGCAGATGAATAAATAGCTTTTGCCGACTTTGTGGCCGATGCTGATACAGCCTCGTAATAAAAAAGCAGCTCTGAGACACCTGGCTGCACTGGTAGCCAAGAAGGGCTCTGCAGGAGGAAGACTGGAAACGAAGCTTCGTGAATGAATTTACATTGATGAATGGTGCCTTTTGCCAATCATGCTGTTTTTCTCTCAATGGATTTTATTTTAAAACTAGGGGCCCGCCGTAACCGGTTTGGCTCCGTGGATAGAGCATTGGCCTGCGGACTGAAAGGTCCCACGTTCAATTCCGGTCAAGGGCATGTACCTTGGTTGCGGGCACATCCCCAGTAGGGGGTGTGCAGGAGGCAGCTGATCGATGTTTCTCTCTCATCGATGTTTCTAACTCTCTATCCCTCTCCCTTCCTCTCTGTGGAAAATCAATAAAATATATTAAAAAACAAAAACAAACAAACAAAAAAACCCTAGGGGCCCAGTGCACGAACTTGTGCACATTGCTGTGCATCTGCCATGGGCACAGGGGTGGGTCTTGGCCCATCCTCTGTGCCCCCGGTCCCCTGTCTGCCCACAGCCCTGCTCCCACCACCACCATTCCCACACACTGATGGTGAAAAGTGATTGGGGCTGGCACCAGCAGTGGGTGCGAGCAGCAGCTGCTGCCCAATTGCCCCTCAGGAGTAGGGGGAGGTAGAGAAGCCCTCAGGGGTGATTGGGGCCAGCACTGGGCACCAGCAGCAGGTGCGAGCAGGGCTGGCGCTGGCAGCAGGTGTGGGCGCCCGGCAGGACTGTGGTGCGAAGGAGCAAAGAATTTTCAGTAACCACCAGAGGCTTACCCTGATGACACGATTGGTGCCCCACCTTGGTCTGGCACCCCTGCTCACCTGCTCCACCATCCTGCCATAGCCAATGCCTGCCATGTTCCACACTCTGCCGCCTACTGCCGATGCCTGCCATGTTCCACGTGTGCCCCTGGTGGTCAACGCACATCATAGTGACTGGCTGTTCGGTTGTTCAGTTGTTCCTCCCTTTGGTCTATTTGTGTGTTAGGGTTTTATATATATAGATGTTTGAGGGTGGCCTCATGGAGGAGGTGGAAACACCTTAGTCTGGTTTTGAAGTGAGGTAGAGAGCACAAAGATAAACTGAAATATAGATGGAGGGTGGAACAAGAGAACTCCCATTTGTCTTTACCAACTAGTGTAATGACTCCTGTTCTGAAAGTATGACAGACTGCATTCAGCAGGTGGTCAGACTTCAAGCAACATTAACCATTTAGAATATGGGGAAAATATTATTTAGGATATAGAAATATAGAATATACTTTTTGAATCCTACCCGAGGATCTCTCTCTCTCTCTCTCTTTCTCTCTCTCTCTCTCTCTCTATATATATATATATATATAGTATATACTAGTGGCCCTATGCACAAAATTTGTGCATGGGTAGGGTCCCTAGGCCTGGCCGATGATTAGGGCTGGCTGATGATTAGGGCTGATCTGTGGGACGACCTGCAGGGCGATTGGGGAAGGGAGGGCATAGGCACCCACCTTGGCTGGCCTGGGGCCTGCGGGCTGGGGACAGCTCCTGCATTGAGCATCTTCCCCCTGGTGGTCAGTGCATGTCATAGCGACCAGTCATTCCACCAGTCATTCTGCTGTTCTGTGGATTTGCATATTAGGCTTTTATTATACAGTGGGGCCTTGACTTACGAGTGTCCCGACTAACGAGTTTTTCGAGATATGAGCCGTCTCTCAGCCGATTTTTTGCTTTGAGTTGTGAGCTAAAATTTGGGTTACGAGCCAGCTTCGGATACCCCACCGCTAGTTGGCGCAGCGAACGTCACAGTGAACGCCACAACATCAGCCCAGCATCATATGTCTCACTCATTCACTTTAAGATTTGACATACGAGTAATTTGAGTTACGAGCTCTGTCACAGACGAATTAAACTCATAAGTCAAGGCCCCACTGTATAGGATAGTCGAACCCACCACCTTTTGGTGTATAGGATGATGCCATAATATTTTGACTACAGAAAAAACTTCTGGGAAATGAGGTGAACCCAAACACACACACACACACACACACACACTCATCTATATATATAAAAGCCTAAGCGACCATCTGACCATTGGACCATTCGCCTGTTAGCTATGACGTGCAATGACCACCAGGGGGCAGATGCTCCAACCAGTAGAAGAGAGTGCCCGATTCCTCGCGGAATCGGCCGTGGGTTAGGTTGCTGCTGGGGCACAGTTGGCCCCGAATCTGCTTCACCTGCACCCCAGACCCAGAGAGGAGGGAGCCCGATTCCAGGGTGTGTCACCCAAGAACCACCCTCTCACAAACTGTGACCCCTCAGGGGATGTCGGAGAGCCGGTTTCGGCTGATCCCCGCAGGCCAGGCTGAGGGACCCTACCGATGCATGAATCCATGCACCAGGCCTCTAGTATGTATATACACATATCTGTATGTTAACACATAGATCAATTGTGAAGATGTATTTGGAGCTGAATGTACTAGTTTGGTATTATATATAGTAAGTTTACTGCTATAACCACATTGCTAACTGTTTTTTTCCAGGCAACTGTCAATTCGGCCTTGAATTCTCACAGTGAGTGGATCAGATTCACAAAAGCATCACTCTGGGGCCCAGAGTAAAAGGGGCCAGCACATTTCAGTAGTCCCTGAAGGTATCATGCTATTGTAGCACATTTCTATTAATGATAGCTACCATTTTGTTTAAAGAGGCAGAGAAGCAAATGTTTTTTAAAAGATTGCCATTAACAATGTAGCAGGATACAAAATTAACCCCAAGAAATCTGAGGCATTTCTATACACCAATAGTGAACTTTCAGAAAGAGAGGGGCGGGGCGGGGGGAAGGACACATATGTAATACCCTTTGTAATACTTATTATAATATTTTTTTAAAAAGAATTAAAAAAAAAAGATTGCCATTAAAACTCATTAACATAAAAAACAATTCTTTCCTACTTAGAGAGAGAAACATGAGCTACATGGAAAAACCTCTACCATGTTCACGTGATGCCAGGTAGACCAACGGGACTCTCTGCCCTGGCATATCTTCCCATGACGGTAGGATCTGATTCTGTCTCTTTCCTTCTCAGTCCTCAGAGTTGTACTGTATATTCAGGAACAAGTTCTGTCTTATGGAAAATCTAGCTTTGAAAAATTATCACGTTTTGTAAACCCAAGCATTAAAGGCTAATGACTTGATATTTTGATTTCTCAATAGTTCTATTCCAATCTCTTTGTTTTTCTTTAAATTCTTCAGTGTGGGTGAATCAGAGATGCTTTTGTCTTCAAGCTTTTCACTTGGCACTACCACAGAAAAATTATATAACTGTACTTGAAAGAAATGACCTCAGTTTTAATTGATAGTTTTAAAAGGCTGTAAGCCTAGCACTCCAATCTGGACCTACTCATAGTGGGTGCAGGGTTTGCTCATCTCTTCACACTCCAGTTGGCCCCTCGGTGCTGCATATAACAGGAGCAACTCCCATATCAAACATGGGGCAAGTTCCCCACTGGCTGGAAATAAACCGATAAGGATGTGTCATTGAAGCAGCTACATGAAGTAACCTTCCAGATCGACCCCAAAGTTCCAAATAACATTGTAGCCATTCATTAGCTATAACTTAAGCACTTTCTTTCTTAGGCCTCCTTGCAACGGCACCTTCTATACTAATGTTACATATAATCTAGGATCCAGAGGACATGGAATTCTTAGGATTGGAAAACATGGATAAACTAATTAGGAATCGAGGGCTGTTCATAATACCAGTAAAATGCCACTCACGTGGGACTTCAGGTGCACATTCTGGCTGATTTCAAGCCAATGAGTGATCCTGTGAAGTATGTCTGGTTGATGTAATAGATTGTAGACCAGGGGTGGGCAAACTTTTTGACTCGAGGGCCACAATGGGTTCTTAAACTGGACCGGAGGGCCGGAACAAAAGCATGGATGGAGTGTTTGTGTGAACTAATATAAATTCAAAGTAAACATTATTACATAAAAGGGTACAGTCTTTTTTTTTTTTTAGTTTTATTCATTTCAAACTGGCCGGATCCAGCCCGCGGGCCATAGTTTGCCCACGGCTGTTGTAGACACATATGATATTGCTTGACAGAATCTTTGTGAGGTAGGAAAATTCAGCTGGCACTCAGATAACATGCTCTGCAAGGAGCTGACACCACACTAGTGTCACTTTATGCAGCAGGCAGTTTTCTTTCCTCGACTCGAAGCTATTCAAGATTTTATTAGAGTAGGACGAAAAAGAAGGATGGTTGACCCTTGAACAACGCAGTGAGGGGATAGTAGCGCTGACCCTTGGAAAATCTGTGTATAACTTTTAACTCCCTCAAAACTGAAGTTGTCCCTCAGTATCAGCGGGGGATGGGGTTGGTTTCAGGACCCCCAGGGATGCCAGAACTAGCTGATGCTGAGCCCCCTGTATAAAATGGTGGACCAGTGCACATGCTTGGCCCTCCACATCCAGACTCCTAACTGCTGATCAAAAGCAGTACAGATATTTGTTGAAAAATATCCACGCATAAGTGGATGATGGAGTTCAAACCCATGTTGTTCAAGGGTCAGCCGTAGAGTTATAAATGCAACAATCTCCAACCCCCACGTGATCAGACAGGGACCCCACGCTGAGCAGGCAGAGCCTTGCTTGCCTTGGGAGATGCTGGTGAGAAGGAAAATGCCACGTGTGGCTGTCATGGTACTTTGGGTATTAACTCAAAGAGGCGAGCCTCCCGATTACACTGAGAAACACCTGGCTTTCAGTGAGGTCTGCAAAAACACAACAAAGCACTCCCTCCCCCCGGCTGAATCCAGCCAGGTATTCCACCCCCTTCTTTTCTTGGCAGATCACATAATCTGTCTGACTGGAATTTTTAGTCAAGAATTTGTATTGCTTTTAGGTAGTTTATCAGCTACCCTTCCCCCCAAAGCA